CCTATGCTTAATCACTCATTTTTTAAAGCAAATAAGAATTAACTAAGGAAAAAAATATGTCTTTGCTAAGTGTTCCAGTGCACATTGACTTTGCCAGCTCATCAGGTTTTCCTGGCTACAAAAGCCCCTACCTCCTTCCCAAGCTGCACGTGGCAAAGAAGCTGGCTAATACCAGTAAAGCAGAAAAAAAATTAAACAGCAGTGAGAAGCATCAGGCTACGTGTGCAAAGGTGGCATTCTTTGACTTCTTATTCATTTTTATTGTGAGAATGTTATTGCTATTTTTTTTTAAAAAAGCTTTTAAATACAAATATGTGTAAAGTACGTGATCCTCCCACTGTCATCTCCGAGTATTATTCTGAGTATCATGGGTGTTCAAATGCACAGTCACACTCTCTAACACAGCGTGCAAGCTTATTATTTTTTTGTTTCCAAATAGGATCAGACACCAGTCCTGTGACTTCCTTCTTTATGTACTGATGATCTATGTTGACACTGGATCTCTCCACTAGGCTTGTCATTTAGCAGAGTGTTTTCTTTAAAATTTAAAGGTTTGGGACTCCAGCATGATTTCTTAACTCCTCCATTAGCATTTTTTAAATTCATTTTTTAATTTATGTGTGTGTCTAGGTCCATGTGGATATGTGCACATGCGTGCAGGTGTTCACAGAGGCCAGAAGAGGGCGTTGGTAGTCTCTCCTGGAGCTGGGGTTATAGGCAGTTGTGAGCTTCCAATTCACAACTGGGAACCAAGCTCGGGTCTTCCAGAAGAGCAGCCAAACTCTTGACTGCTGAGCCGTGTCTGCAGCCTGGCGGTGTGCTTTAAATTCATGGCAATTCATATACACTCACTGTGCTGTAGAAAATGTCATCTGATTCCAGTTGGAGTTCTAAGAGCTTTGGATGCTCCCAGTGTTGAGTATTGGGAATTAAACTGGCAGCCTGTCTCATGTGGAAGCTGCAGTCCTCTGAGCCTTCAAGGAGGCATCGTGCTTTAGGAAGATGGACAAGCTGGCCAGCTGCTTCCTGAGGTCTCTGTGTGTGAGGCACTGTTTGAATCTCTGCTGTATTAATTGGTTGGCATGGGCTCACAAATCCTGAGCGGGAGAGGCAGAAGGCAGTGCCTAGCAAAGGCCTAGGGCTGCCGGATAAGAGAGACCAGTGTCGGAACAGCAGGGGCGGTGACGAAGGAAGCTGCCCTTCAGCTGCTCGTGGTGTGGGGAGCAGACCTTGAACGACAGTGCTAAAGAGCCCAGAGTAGGACATGGGGTCATGGCCCAGCCGCAGTTTAGCCCAGGCAGCTGTTCCTGAGACACTGGTAAGGCCTTGGTGCTAATGTTCTTAGGACCAGTTTGAACAGGTGCTATTGTTTGTGCACATAAACTTTCATGCCCCACAGGACTTGCATCTTAAGGAGGGTAGTGGGTGAGCTGTGAAGTGGACAGGAGGGAGGGAGGGAGCCTTGCAATTACTTCTCCTCCTCTCCCAAGCCTGCAGGTAGCTGGGCTGAGGAGGACAGAGGCTGTCTAATTGTCAGCCCTGAGAATATTTTATACACATTGCATTGGAAATTAAACCCTGTGGCAGATGAAAAAGCACACTAGGCTTTCCTGTGAGCAGTGTGACTGTGGCGAGGTAACCACAGCCAGTACTTCAGTCTGTGGGAGCCTCAGCGCATTGGCACGTGCGCAAATGGTGGTGTTATCCATAGGGATACCAAACTTGGTGCCTAGACCGCCATTCATAAGAAGTCTGCAGCCACCCAGCTGGTAGACATGCCCTGGTCCTAGCCCAGTGGGGAGCACCTGGGAATCCCTGGCCTAAGGAAGCTGCAGGGCAGGCAAGGCTGGGCTTTGCAACCTCTGGGGTTCCTCCCTGCAACACCAGGTGTGTGGGCGAGGTGCCATGTGACAGAGAACTCTTCATCCATCCTTCCAGCTCCCCATAGAGGTGGGCCCAGTGGGAGCATAATGAGACCCCTTCAGAAGACCGGTTTCCACTGAGATTGGGTTCCTTAACTAACCACCACCACCGCAGCCTGATGCCAGGCACAGGGGTGCTCAGGGCATACGTGAGGAATGGCCAGAGCAGGTAGCAGAGTGGGCAGTGCCTGGATGTGCCCTGTCACCAGCAAATCTGTGTGTGTGAAGGGGCAGCTCAGCCTTTATCCGTGTCCCCTCACTCACAGTCCACGGCTCAGGAGAGACTGGACCATGCAGCACAAGGGCCTTTTGGTTCTGAGCTGCACCCGGCTCGCTGAGATTCACCCCAGTCATCTAAGGCAGCACCTCTACCCTGCTCTCCTGTCTTCTTGGAACACACACTACAGTGATGTACTCATTTCTGGCCACCACACCACACAAATGTAGAATAATCTGGAAAGAATAAGAAAGGACTAGGGCAACCTAGTTCACTAAGGTCTACAGTAGGGAGTTGGTGCTTGACCTGGGCCAGTGGGTGGTTCTTCAGTGACAGGGTTCTAAGCAGGAAGGCCAGGAGATAAGAAAGACAAAGAAGATAAAAAGCTGGGGTCGGGGTACTCACACAAGCTGTGTCTTATGCCAGGCAAGCTTATTAAGAAGCACAGTGTTTTACTATTATTTTGGGGAGAGGAAAAAAATGGGAGCGAGTCAGCAGAAAGCCATCAGACAATGGGACAGAGTCAGCAGGAAGCTCATTGGTGTTGCACAAGGAGAACACAGGATACCTCAAGGATGTCAGGCTGAGCAGACAGCAATTTGGGGACTGATAGCCCCTTAGGGTAGAAAGAGTTAGGTCTCAAGATCCAAAGCCAGAGCTCTACTCCCCCACCCACACCCCCACCCCCACCCCACAAAGGCTCTGGCTCCAGGCCATTTCTGGCTCTGCTAAGCATGTTTCTGGTATGGAGAAGGAACTTCGGTCTTTCTTCACATGTCAGGGCCTCGGGGAAAGCCTTGGGCAGATGTAGCCCACAACACTAGTCTCTTGTTGACATAGCTTCATTTCATGTTGACCCTGGGAGGGTGAGGGCCTCTTGTCAGAGGAGGGATCTGGGAGCCAATCAGAAGAGCTAGCGGCCTGAGAGACAGCCTGAAGTCAGGTGCAGGCTGAGATTGCAGGCAAGTCTGGAAATTCTGCTTTTGCACGCAGCTGCCCCAGTCAGTGAGGAGGGGAGAGAGAGTGCGACTTCCCGGAGACTCAGGGCAGTCTGCCTCAGGCAGTTGAGGGATTCTGGTGTGTCTTCTAACAGACAAGCTGCAAACACTCCGCTAAATCTGTCAGAATCGGCAAGTAGCTTTTCGCTCTCGGAATGTCCCGTGCCTAAAATGTATGTGTTGTTTCCTAGAAACTTAATGCGCTCTGTCACATTTCTATGTTTTTACTCTGGCGTCCGATCCCTGGGATGTGCCGGAAACATTGGGCCCAGTATACACACAGAGAAGAAGAGAGATTTTGTTTGTTTGAGTAGATCCTGTAAATGTATTTGTTTATGTGAAATTTAAACTTAACTGGGCCCCTATATTTTTGTGTAATTTGGCAACCATGTTCTGTCCCGTCCAGTGGGAGTTCAACGGGTTCCTAAGGAGGGTTGAAAAGACTGGGTGGAACAGGAGACACAAAGAATGAGAGTAAGTCTATCATCTGATCTAGCTCTTGTTTATTTGAAATTTTTCACACAACTTTATAGGGAGAAGGCAGGAAGGGAAAATGTGTAAGCAAGTAGTTCGCAATACAAAAGATAACAGGGTGGTTGATGATTCAGAATACCACAAGAATGTTTACTAAAAGAGATACTACAAGAATGTCAGCTCCGATATCTCAAAATCTCTAGCCTCATGAACAGATGTCTCATGGGTTCCGGAAACATAAATCTCTCACCCACGACCTTTACCAGCTGGCCTTGGCTCCTGGCAGTGTTTGGAGACCCTTGGAAACACACTGGACCTTTGTGGGTCCCCAAGAGTGCCTACAAGACACCCAGGGAAGGTACAGGCAGTGTGGAAGGTGGCAGGCTCCCTGGCACAGATGTATAGAGACAGGGTGTCAGAGAGCCACTCCCAGGTGCCCTGGAAGGAACTGGCTGCAGACGCCTGGTCCCAACGGTGCTCTAGAGTCCAGCATGGGGAAGAAGGAGGCTTATTATTATTGGCTGAGCTATGTCTAGGCAGGGATGGGAAGCCACTTCTGAAACCACCCACTGTTAGAGGACGGGCTACCGGCTCTCTTGTCTATACTGATGGCCGGCCACAGTCAGCTGGTGGAAAACAGCCCAGTCCGAGCTCCTCACACGGTCTAATCTTGCTTCAAGAAGTGCCACTTGACTGAAACATGCTCAATTGTCCCTTGTGCTGAGGACTGACGGTGACCCCCTGGTTCTTGTGGGTCTTTTCAGCAGAGAGTGACTTCTGTGGTAGGCTGTGCCCTCATCACTCCCAGGGATAACGTGAAGAGCACCCACCACCACCACCAAAGTTCAGCACTGGTGCTGGAAGGCAAATGGCCTGAGGCCTCGGAAGCACAGCTGTTTGTTTATTTTTTTTCTTAGATTCTCTGTGTGCATTCACCTCAGCCAGCCAACAGCCAGCGTTTTAAACCCAGCCTCCTGTGCTTGCCCCTGCACATGCTGCCTGCGCTCCAGGAATTGCCCTCTGGTCCTTGGGCCCCACCCCATCCCTCCTGCTGGACCTCTCCTCCCAGACCCTTCCACAAGTGTCTTGTGACATTGACCTGGGAAACAGGGAGAGGGAGCAGGTCTGCAGCAGCAAACGCTCCTGGCTTCTGGGATGACGATTGTTCGTTGTTATTCCCCTCCGCTGGCTGTTGGGAGCCTCGTTTGACTGTAAGCTCGGTCCTTCAGTAGTAGTCATTAATTAGGACTCGCTAAATGGCGGACTCGCTAAATGGTGTCCAGTCAGAGCATCCACGGCAGCAAAGCGGAGGTGCTCACCCCCTGCTCGTTAGGGCTCACTGAACAGTGCTGCGGCGACTCACCACTGTCTGTTGCTTGTGTCTTCCAGGAGGGATCATTGCATGGCCGCTGTCTGACAACATGCCCCAGCAGTGGCTACTGCTGGCTGCGTGCTTCTGGGTGGTTTTCATGTTCATGGTGGCCAGCAAGTTCATCACGTTGACCTTTAAAGACCCGGATGGTAGGTATGCTTCACAGCAACGCTGTTCCCGGGCACCACGCATGAAGGACGGCTGTCCTGACCAGAGTCTTCATGCCTCGGAAACCAGGGGGAGGTGGGCAGGAAGATGGCTGTGGGAGCTCCTCCTGAGGAGGCGCTTTCTGTGCGGCTGAAGCCACCGGGTCACTGTTGGGGTAGAGATGCTTGAATGGCACAGGCTCTGCCTCGCCCTAAGGTGCGCAGCAGTGTCCTCACTGTGACTGGCGGCTGTCTTCAGCGCAGTGGAGGGAGGCTTGTGTGTGATGTGAGGCTCTGTGTGGGAGTTCGTCTCTTTCCTAGAGGAGGCAGATGTAGAGTGCCAGGTTAGCTGAGCCTGCTTCCTGTTCTTGTCAAAGCTCACTTGTAAAATGGACACACTGCCTGCTCTGACACCACCAGCTGAGGGTCAGGCTAGTAGTGATGGGCTGCCCTGCCCAGGGGGGCCTTCAATGTTACTCTTGGGTTCTGTACCACACCCTCCGGCGCCAGGGGAGTCGCTGAGGAGAGGAGGGGCGTGGCTGGCTGCGCTGGTGTAGACAGCGGTGGTGCGTCCTGGCTGGAGAAGCGCTTCCCACGGAGCTGGAACATAGAGGTTGGGCTCGCTTCCATGGCTGCCAGCTTGTGAGAGGCGCATCTGCACCAGCGGTGTTCTACCCACACAGTAGCTAGGCTAGTTGGCTTTGGGCTCCTTCTACACCCAGAAGAGCTCCTGGTGCACTCCTAGTTACTTAAGGGAGTCTGATGCCCCGCCCTCCTTCATCCCCTCTGTCCCATTTTACCTGTGGAGAAAGAAATCTAGAAGCAGATAGTCGTGGAGAAGAGGGAAACCTGAAGTTAGCCCCGGCAGTGGGCCCAGTCACCACAATTTGCACTCGGGTAATTCCAGGCACTCAACAGATGCTTGGCTGCCGTTGCAGTCCCCTTGTCTTCTTGGGGTCCTTGGAAGAAAGGTGCCAGCTTGCGCAGCCTGGGGGAGGGTGTTGCCCTTGCTGTGTTGGATGTCCGGGACCATCATGTGGTTCTGGGGCCCAGGGCCCCCCTAAGATAATCGAGTTTCAAGTCTTGGAGCATGGTTGGAGTTTGATCAGCGATCCCAGTGTCAGTGTGGGGATTTTAGCATTTTCAGCAAGTCATTTTTGGCAATCTCTCAGGAAGACAGAAAGGGTCTCGTTCTGGAGGCACTGCAGCTTTGCAGCCTGCTGATGACACACATACAATTCAGATGTCTCAGGTGGGCAGCAGTCCCGAAGGCGGGGTAGCTGAGAAGCTGAGAGGACGTGCTGAGAATAACGTGACTTCTGAACCCTGGCGTTAGCTCTTAGGGAGGAGGGCGGGAAGGGTGAGCCTCGAGATTACACGGCTTGTAGTTTATTTTGTTGTAAAGCCAGGTCAGTGGTCCTGCATAACAGTGACCCGTCTGTCAGTCATCGTTAGATAGTTGAGGCCGGGTGACACACGCCTTCCGCACTAGCCCATGCTGGGGTTTGATTGAGCGTCTGAGTTAGAGACCGGAAAAACCACAGCGAGGCCCCACCTGAGAAACAAAGCAGCAAAGGAAATATAAGCCAGATTGCACCAAGGAAAATAAGTCCAAACCAGCGGTGGCCATTTAGTATCGTGATTTGTCAAGGTTTGAAATAACAAACAAGCCTTGAGTGGTCTGGGACATTGTACACACAGTTTTCTTTCCTCTGTTGGGCCTCTCTTTCAAGCCAGTCCTTGGCCAGACCGCAGCTTCTTATTGGCTGAAGGCTGAATCCCAGGATTTTGGATTATCTCCACTCTGCCTTGTAGCATGGGCATGAGCTGTGAGGCAGGAGGCAGCATCACGGATAGTGTGGGAGGCAGCAAGGGGACAATTAAGGCAAAGCAAAGCAGTACTCCACGCTCGAGTGCAGACATTTTGTACAAACTCATCAACAGCCATCGCTCTGTTAGCAGACACGATCTTAGAGATGAAGTTGCCCAGCCATGCCTCGAGGAGCACAGCTCTCCACCCTGAAGCTGGAGACTTGCTTCTGAGTGGCAGAGTGGGAGGGACTGACCCCGGATGGCAGCAGGGACGCTGGCCACTGCTGAAGAGAATTCCCCACCAGCAAAACTGCAGAAAGCGAAAACTAGGCCACTGGGCATGCTTCCTCCTCTGTGATCAGCTAGGGTTGGCTTAGCTGAGGAGAGGAGCTTAGAATCGTGAGACTGTCCAGACCATGGTAGCGACTTCTATGTGCTCTGAGCATGGGAAATAGGTTGCTTTCCGGCAGCCGCTGGCAAGTCGGTTATGCAGAACTCAGCACACGGTTCTCCATACCCAGAATGTAGGAAGCACAGGTCGCGCACACATCCATTTAGCATGTCAACATCAAAGGGGACAGGTTGAGTGGGTGGAGACTGGACCAGTCAGCATGGGCGTCAGAGCCCGGGCAGGGCAGCTGGGAGCACTGGGGCGGGTAGGTGCCCTGCGTCCACCGGGCATCATGCACTTTACCCTCTGGCTGGCTCAGGACGGCTTGTGCCTGTACCTGCAGCCAGGTCTGTACTTCCCCTCAGGGAAAGCCGGCTGTGGGGTCAAGCCACAGGGGAAGGAGTGGAGCCAGGGCCCTGAGGTTTGGGGGCAGAGTGGTTTCATTAGTGCACAGAAGGACGCTCCCGGCCTCACTGCACAGAGAGCCAAACCAGAGGCGGCTGTTCCGTAGCCTGACTGGGTGAGGGAGGAGGCACCACAGTTAACAGCACCTGCTGCTCTTCCAGAGGACCCAGGTTCAATTCCCATCACCCACACGGCAGCTCACACCTGTCTGTAACACCGGTTCTTCTGGCTTCCATGGGTACCAGGCACGGATGTGGTATAGATGCTCGTGTAAACACACAAAGTAAAATCAAATGAAGGTAAAAAATAATAGAGCAAATTTAAAAGAGTGGACTGGGGTGGCCGGGGCTAGAGTAGAGCAGGCAACATGGAGGCAGCTCTGAACCAAGAGGCGCTCACTAAATGAAAAGCCTTTATATATCTGATGTGCTTTTACTGTGTATTTATGTTTCTGTGACACTCGAACTTTTGTTTGAAAGTACATGTTTGTTTTCAGAAAGTGATAGATTATGTTCAGATTTTATTTGAAAGATTTCTACAAAACCTGTTTATTTCAGCGTTTGCGAGACCAAGTGGGTTTATTTCAGCGTTTGCGAGACCGAGTGGCTTGCAGTCTGCCCTCTGGGCTGACATGCAGTCACATGACTTCTGACATGAACCCGGAAGTTCTAACATGACTGCTGGAGTTTTGTTTTTGTTTGTTTGCTTGTAAATTAACTTATTGTTTTGGTTTTTTTTGGTTTTTTTTTTTGTTGTTGTTTTTTTTCTGGTGATCACCGATTTGTGGCATGCAGTTGTGAGAAATACCACAGAGGGTAGCTCAGTGAGTCCCCTACAAGAGGACCCCGGGTGGAGTCCCAGCACGCACATGGCAACTCAACCCTCTGTAACTCTAGTTCCAGGGGATCTGACACCTGCTTCTAGCCACTGTGTGCGCCAGGAGCACAGGGGTACACAGACACACACGTAAGCGGAGTAGTCACACCGATAATTTAAAAAAAAGAGAAGAAGAAATAGCAGAGGACATGGAGACCCTGTGTTCTGCTTACCCTCCAGGCCCACGTGGCCACTGCAGTGTCACCGTTGGAATAGTGGCACAGATACTGGTGCAGATACTGTCACCCTGAGGGTCTGTCAGGTCAACCCTGGTGATTTGTTGTCTCTTGCTTTGGGTTTGGCTTTTTTTTTTTTTTTAATCTAAATCTGAATTTCATTGTCTAGCCCAGATTGGTTATAAACTTGTGTCCGCCTCTGGAGTGCAGGGATTGTAGACAGATGTGCCACGATGCCCAGCTGACACACACACACCCTGAGCCTCAGCTCCTGCACCTCTATGCAACTGTGTCATTTCAAAAGTGCCTTGCAGTCTGTGACCTGGTCAGAGTCACTCAGTCCCCAGAGCACCCTCCCAGCATGCTCAGTGTTATCAGTGAGCCTTCCATTGTTACTGCTCAGTCGTATTCCTCTGTGTAGGTGTGCCCCTGTTGGTTAGCCTCCCCCCCCCCCCAAAAAAAAAAAAAAAAACACACACCTGTTGAAGAGCATGTGGGCTGTTTCCAGTTTGAGGTTATGACAAACGGAGCTGTTGTGCACACTTCCCTAAGGGTTTTTGTTAAGTTTCTTTCTCTGGATTAATTTCTAGGAAACAATTTTTGAGTCTTGTTACCATATTGCTTGTTTTCTTTTTTCTTTTTTATGAGAATTACCAGACCCTTTTCCAGAGTGGCAGTCCCACAATGCGGCATTGAGTACATACATGACCGGGTTTCTCCACCTGCAGCCTGGGGGGTGGTCCGTCTTTCTCATGTTTTCTGCTGTGTCTGTAGCCGTCTTCCGTGGTTTTGGTTTGTGTGTGAAGGCGGTGAGAGTCTCCACTGAGGTGCCTCTGTCCTGTGCAGATCGGCTTATTGGTTTCCTTACCTGACTCACCTGCTGTCTTCCTTACGTCGCCTACAGACTCGCTCTCTGTGGAGCGTGAGGCTTGTCATCCATTCCTGCCGGCCCGCAGCTCTTCAAACGGGCCTTTACAAAGCCTGGGCTTTAAGCTTCAACGAAGTTGTTTTCTAAAGGTTTTTGTCCCGTTTGTTCTTCTTTTAATTTCATCGATTTTGGGCTCTTTTTTTTAAACAGTGTAAGTGAGGATTAATGGCTCGTTCTGTCCGCTTGCTCCGTCTCTCTTTCTTAAACAGACTGAGCTCCAAGCTGGGTGGCCTCTGCCAAAGGCCAGTGGGGCGTGGCTGGGTGGGGCAGCGTCTCCTGGGGCAGCTTTCCGTGCCCGGGACTTTGTGAGAACATATGTGACTCTGTCCTCCAGGGTATAGTGCCAAACAGGAGTTCATGTTCCTGACGACCCTGCCGGATTCGGGGAAGCTAAGAGGAGAGAAACATCTTCCTGAGGACATAAAGGTGAGCACAAGGCTGTCCCTTCAACTGATAATGTTTTCCTCAGGGAACTTTGCCCTGTGGCCCTGTCACAGCGGCTTCTCCCATCGGCTCTCACAGGCCCCGCTGGTGTCACTGCAGCTTGACTTATGGTACAGGTGGAGAATTCCTAATCTGAAAGCCTGACATATAAAACCTGCCCAAGCTGAGGTTGTTTGAATATCAACATGGTGCCACAGTGGAAATTCACACACCACAAAGGTTTGTTCTATGCATTGGATTATTTAAAACGTTCTGTATGGCCAGGGCTGTCACTCGGTGCTGCAGGTACTGCTTCACGTGCACAAGGCCCCGGGCTCTGGTCCCGTCATCTCCCAAAGTTGCACACAGTTGCCTTCATGTGTATATTAAATGTAAATGAATTTCAGGTTTGGACTTGAGTCCTAAGATCTCTCGTTTTGTAGATGGAATATTCCAAAGTCCAAAACCATCTCAAACCTGATACACTTCTGGGTTGTTCAGGTGGATCCTCTGCCGCCTGTGTTCCCACTCATGGTTTCAGCTTGGATTTGGTGAATGTTTTATGCTGTGTTCCTCTTCATGGGTGCTGTGCGTTGGTTGTGCTGACTTCCTTCCTGAGTTTTGGCTTCTTTGGCCTGGGATGGGGTGTGTTGAATAGACTTAGGAAGAAACAGGGAATGTGAAAAGATTTCTGACCCAGAGTGGAACTCTAGGATGACAGGGAACACGGGACCAGCCTTCAAAAGGCATGGATGAGCAGTTGAATCCAGAGCAAGGGACAGGCCCCCAGGGACATGGCAGATGACAGGCGCAGCCCAGGCCGCCAGCTTTCATGGAGTCCTCAATGCCTGGGCACTGTGAATTCCTCTGCAGGGCCACTTTCACACAAACACTCTGTCCCCTGCCCAGGGATAGGGGTGCACTCAGGAAGGCCCCCACTTTACCAGTCTTCATGCTGGGTCTGGAAGGTGAAGACCACAGCTAGGCTGGAAAGGATGAAGTGTCCGGGACTAGACTAGGGCAAAGGGCAGGGCCTGCCAGGTCCCCAGTGTGAAAATGGCAAATGAGAACTCAGTAAGGACAGAAGCATCCCAGCGGGGCCACAGGCAGCTGTGTGGTTTCTCCTCAGCAAGACACTCACCTCAGAAAGGCTGGGTCTGCAGAGCTCTTTTGAGAGGACCCAGGGGCCGGGTCTTCAATAGAAAATATTTAAATACATGACTGGAGAGTAAACGGGCAGGTGAGCTATCTTGCAAAGCGGTTTGAGGTTAGCTTTGCCCGCCCCCCCCTCCCTCCCCCCCCCCCCCCCCCCCCCCCCCACTCCACAGACACACACTTGAGAAGATACTGCTTCAGGGAAAATAGATCTTACCCTGAAGTGGCCCATTGCTACTTCAGATGCCTGTTAAAAAACGTGTGACTTCTGAGTCGGACACTGAAATGCTACACACACACACACACACACACACACACACACACACACACACACACAGGTCGTGATCAGTAAAAGTTACTGAACACTAATGTACGTGTCTCAGGTCCAGCTCCCCCTGTCCCGCCCATTTCCCCTCTGCTCTTCCTCCTCAGCGCCCCTCCTCCCCGTGCATACGGTGACAGTGCTCACGTGCGCACTTTTGCACACGCGCTGTCTCGTGCCACTCCTTTTATCCAGCTGAGGCTTTCTTGGGTATCCCCATGAGACCGTGTGGCTGTGACGCGCAGTCAGGGCTCAGCAGCGAAGGAGTGAATGGTCTGCTCACCTTCAGAGCCCTGCAGATGGAGTCCAGGCCTGCGCGTGTCAGGGCCGTCCTTCCAGCTGGGGAACGTAGCCTGCCTCTTCCTTCACCTGGAGCCCCAGCTTTCTCACCTGTCAGTGTGTCAAATCAGCCTCCTAGGAAAATCACAGGAGCCAAGGGCGTGTGCATCTGTTTTTCTGGCCACCTGCCCCTATTTGTCTTCAACTCAGCAAGGCTGCAGAGAGGGCTGGGAAGGGCCCCGTGAAGCGGCAGGACGTGTTGTTTGTCACTCTAGCAATGGGAAGGAAGCAGAAGGGCACCCCAGGGCTGTCTCCTGCTTCATAGCCGTCCCGCTCCCTTACAGCCTACCGGGAAGATGCTTTCCGACGGCCGTCCTGAGCAGCCCCCAGTTTATCTGCAGCGGCTAGAGCTCATCAGAAACGCCTGCCAGGAGGAGGCTCTGCGGAACCTCTCGCACACCGAGGTCTCCAAGTTTGTCCTCGACCGGATATTTGTCTGTGACAAGCACAAGATCCTTTTCTGTCAGACTCCCAAAGTGGGCAACACCCAGTGGAAGAAAGTGCTCATCGTCCTGAACGGTACGTGGGCCCGACTGTGGCGGGAGAGGGGTGGGTGGCCCCAAAGGAGGCCGGGGCTTCTGAAAGGACCCAGGTCTTCCTGAAGGTTCGCTGTGGCTGTTTCCGTACCGGTTATACCGCACAGGTCGGTGCGGCCACCTCGTTACACACCGTGTGCGGTTATTCTGCTTCCGGGATGGTACGCCAGTGGTTGCATTTTCAAGTGGGAGATCAAGGCTACAGTCAAACTGACAACAGCAAGGCCCACGTAGGGGTGTGGCAGTGGGAAACACAAAACTCACAGTGGTGGGATGAGCGAGGAGTAGGAATGTGTCTGTCCAGACACCTCACTGCTGCAGCTTCCTGGGAATCACGGGCACTTCCGGTGCCTGTTAGAACAGTGTGCTGTGTTTTCACGTATCAGTTACAGATCATTTAGACTGAAGACAAAGGACCCTCCTTGACCTCAACATCCGCAAAATGTCTTACTGAGAATAAAAATTAAACTTATTTCAAGAAAGCTTTTTATCATCCTAATTACTACCTTGTTTGGTAGAAAAAGTCAGCTTGTTTATTTGTAAACCAACATGGACTCATTTAATCTTACGGGCATGGGCTTGCCAGGTCATTTGCCAGGCGGGCTGCCGTGGGGTTCTGTGAGAAACAGAACTGGTGGTGCTGTGGGCGTATGGGGTACTCCACTCCGTGTCACGAGCGTCGGCATCTCCTGCCACCTCGGGAGAGCAGGCACTGTCGGCTTTACCAAGACCTGCCCTGGTAGGCCCAGTACCAGGGCCTCGAGCATTTCTTCAGTTTCCTTCCCTTCCCTCCTGTTAGCCGATGGATAAAGACATTCTCTTTCCGCTGTTAGGGGCGTACGCACAGACAGTGGGCTCCTCGTGTGTGCTGTGAGATGATGGCGAATGAGATGACACAGACCGGCATCTCTCAGGGTCACACTGAGGCAGCCCGTGCACCTTCTCCTCTTGTCCCCCAGGAGCGTTTTCCTCCATTGAAGAGATCCCCGAAAACGTGGTCCATGACCATGAGAAAAACGGCCTTCCCCGCCTCTCTTCCTTCAGCCAAACAGGAATTCAGAAGCGGTAAGGGCAGCTTCTGGGAGGGGAGAGGGCGGGGCGGGGGTTCTTGCAGCAAAGCCCCAGCCTCGCTGTGTGGTCCGCATGGCTCCGGGGGCCACAGGGTCAACGCTTTGTGTTGGCGCGCACAGGCTGTCCTTACTGCCCTGCGCACTGCAACCCTCGGCCCTCCCGGGGATTTCAGAACACCTTCCCCAGCCTTGTCACAAAGGCCACTAAAGTGTGCACCAGATTATTGCCGGAAGTGGGTAGCACTCGGTGTTTTGGTTTTGTTATGTTTTTATGGGTTCCTTACTAAACAGGATTTTCTCCATGATAAAGAAAGCGCTGCACACTTTCCCGGGGCAGCGAGCCTGCTTCTGGGTGGACTTCCCCGTGGCAGAGGCAAGAGCAGGTCCGTCCGGGGCCACGCAGGAGACTGGCCCCTGACTGTGGCGGAGGGAGGCAGTCAGCAGCAGATGAGTGGGACGTTCTCCCATTTTAGCTGTGGAGGGGCTTCACAGAGCCGGACTGAAGGGGTCAGAATTAACAGCTGCCCTCCCTGCCAGGTCCAGGGCACCTTCCTATTGGAAGCATGCAGCCTGGCTTCCTCTTCCCTCTTCCCATTTTTTTTTCTTTGATTTTTCTTCCCACTGGCACTTGGGGGTCTGATCCTTAAAGCTGTGCCCATGAAATAAATCCCTGGCCTCCGTTAATCCTGACTCACACTTCTAGCCCTGGTGATTTCCTGCCCAGGAACAAAACTTGTAAACGTTTTTGAAGGTTTGAATTAGCCAAATAAAACGAAGCCCTGATTAAAAAGTTCCTTATCGCCCCCAGAGGATGCGTGGTAGGGCGCTGAGCAGTTCAGTTTTCTAAGTCTCCGTTTCCTCACCTCTAGACCGGGTCGACAGCGATGTTCAGTGCTCTACACATGCGCGCCGTGTGTGTGTGTGTGTGTGTGTGTGTGTGTGTGTGTGTGTGTGTGTGTGCGCGTGCGCGCGTGCGTGCGCGCGCCTGCTGTTCCTCTCTCCCCTGCCCTCTCATCAGGACCTCCCGGCATTGTCTCTTACTTGTCTTCCTCTCTCTCAGGTTGAAAACATACTTCAAGTTCTTTATTGTAAGAGACCCCTTCGAGAGACTGATCTCAGCCTTTAAGGACAAGTTTGTTCACAACCCACGCTTTGAGCCCTGGTACCGGCACGAGATCGCGCCCGGCATCATTAGGAAGTACAGGAAGAACCGGACGGAGACGCGGGGGATCCAGTTTGAGGATTTTGTGCGCTACCTGGGCGACCCGAACCGCAGGCGGTTAGACCTTCAGTTTGGGGACCACATCATCCACTGGGTGACCTACGTGGAACTGTGCGCGCCCTGTGAGATCAGATACAGTGTGGTGGGACACCACGAGACCCTGGAGCAGGACGCCCCCTACATCCTGAAGGAGGCCGGCATAGACCACCTGGTGTCCTACCCCGCCATCCCGCCCGGCATCACCGTGTACAACAGAACTAAGGTGGAACGCTACTTCCTGGGCATCGGCAAACGAGATATCCGGCGCCTGTACGCTCGCTTTGAGGGGGACTTCAGGCTCTTCGGGTACCAGAAACCAGACTTTCTGCTAAATTAAGGCACCGGACGCTTCGTCCCGCTAGGTGGGGCTGGCTCGGTGGAGGTCTGAGCGCAGAAGTGACGCTTTCCTGCCCTGTGGTTCCGTTGGATGCTGTTGGGCTCCGAGTATCTGCTTAGCTCGGATGGCTCATGCCTTCGGGGTTCCCCTCCCCAGCCGGTATCTTTAGGGGTCACCGGCCACCACCCCCATGAGAGGCTAGGAAAGACTGAACATTTGCAGACTGGTGGACAGACCACGCAGAGGACACAGCGTGAGGCGCTGCGTCCTCCCGCGGTCACGTGGCCATCGGCAGCTATGGTCGGGCGCCTGTGTGCAGTCCCAGCGCTTTCTAGAGGCGGAGCGGCTGAGTGTCTGCAGGGGGCCCTGGGGTGCACGCCTGATTCCTCTTTCTGCCTGCTGGGCACGGCAGTAGGCCCAGAGGCAGATCACGTGCTCTTTGAGCTTGAGGCCCTGTGACTTTTGGTGGTGGTAATCACAGAATGCTTTGAGCAGGCTGTCCTTCCATGACCCAGGCTAGCTCATGTTTTCAGGATGTCTGAGCCTACAAGCAGCTGCTTCTGGAAAGCGCGGGCATTGTCGGGGTGTCTTAGGGACTTGCAACTTGGGGTGGGGAAGGAGGGAATTCAGGCGCCTGGCTAGACTCGGCTGTTGTCCTGGATTGCCGAATCTGAGCGAGCAGCAGGGGCTTTTCCACCCGTCTCCATGCACCTCACTGTCCAGAGAGGGGAGAAAACACAGAGCGTGTCCAGTGGGTGATACAAGCTCCTCCTGGGAACATGCGGGAGGGCCGGGCCCTCATTGCAGAAGCCAGGCTGCTCACACAGAGCCGTGTCCCTTCACGTCCACAGGTAGGATCTTGCAGCCCTGGTTCTAATCTTGCCACCATCCTGGACTGAAAGACCCACAGATTGGATAATCAGATTCATCAGCAATAAAATCCTGGGTGAGGCCGTCTCTGGTAACACGTCATGCTAGGCACTGAGGCCAGCCCCAGCAAGAAGAAAGCCACGGCGGCCACCTCAGCTGCCAGCCAGCAGCCAAGGGCTACGAAAGATGACAGGGTGGTTTCCCTGAGTACTGAGGCCCTAGCACACACATCTTCTGTGGCAGCTTTTCCTAGAGGCCACAGCTCTCTCATAAAGCCTTCCTGAACTTGTAAATGTGAAAGTTAAAAAAATTTAAACTATGTGCCAAATCTGACCAGTGAGTCCCAAAGGAGCGGCCTCCAGGGCCACAGGTAACTCTTGGGGGCTGCAGGCCGAGGCCAGGGATTGGGCTGTGGACCGGAAGGAGACTCATCTCTTCCTTGTCAGCTGACGTGCCACAATTGTGATGTTGGGTTATTAGTGAAGTTTTAGCAGAGCCTTCTTAAGATTACTTCAGGCCCGAGTTGCTGAACCGCAGTCTCTTTTTCTGTTTTTGAGGTAATAATGTGTGTGAAGTTGAGGCCTTCTTCAAGCTAGTCCTCATTAAAGCAGCATTTTCTCTCACAAACAAAACTGGCTGGGTTGGTTTGGTTTTTCTCTTTCCCTCCTTTCTGGCCTTTTGGCCATTTCCCTAACATTCTTTGCCGAACAGGTAAATATTTTTACCACAGTACACCTGGAACAGGATACCTCCACACACCGTGGCTCCTGGTCCCAGACAACCAGCGTCTCCAGAGTGGCTCAGCCTGATACCCTTCCCCAAGGTCTCAGGGCGCCCTTCTTGTCTTCAAACTCACGTTCCTCTTTCTCTTCATTCAAGGAGGCAGTTCTTTCCCTTTGTCCCTTGACCCACTGCTAAGTTCATCGCAATTCAGGCTGTGGCAGCTCTCCCCACACTGCTGCACGGAGGGAGCATTGCCCCCCCAAGCATGACTTGGCCTTCTCGCCAGCCTTTCATAGCTGAGGTGGGTCTCCCGGCTCAGAAACCATTCTTCTCGGGAAAGGAACGGCAGACCCACCTTCGAGACCCTGGGGTAGTAGTCACCCATCCAGCTCTGCAGGGTGGACCTGTCCCTTTGACTCGGTCCTTCCCTTCAGCTTAAAGCTTTGGAAGGGGCCCAGAAGACTCCACCAGACCTTGGCCCGCTCCTCCCTCCCCACCCCCACCCACCCGGTGTTGGCAGCCTCTGCTGGTGCTTTTGCAGCTGCAGAGAAGCAGCCCTGATCTGCAAATTGCCTGTGAGCCCCGGTTGCAGCCGGCCTTCTGCCTGCTGTTCTCCATGAAGGGGATTCGCTGCAGTGGCTTACAAGCTGTGGTCCAGCTAGTCATCAGTGGTTGTGAAAGGTCCCGTGGTTCAGTAAATAAGACTAGGTGCCTCATTTGATCTTCAGTCTATGCCAGAATGATTTAATCAAAAGATTTGGTCAGGAGTAAGCTCTAATGCCACAGAGGGAATGGACTTGCCAGAAAGAACAAGCAGGCAAAGAGAGCAAGCTTCCTTCTTCCTTTGTGGAGGCTGCCAGCAGAAGGTGTGGCCCAGATTAAAGATGGCTCTTCTCATGGGCTGGAGAGATGGCTCAGAGGTTAAGAACACTGCTTGCTCTTCCCAGGGTCCTGAGTTCAACTCCCAGCAACCACAGCCCCTCTTCAGAGAAGAAGGGGAGGAGGAAGAGAGTGGGAAAGTAGGACCAGGAGGAGAGGAGGGAGGGGGCTTTGATCAGGATGTAAAGTGAATGAATAAATTAATGAGAAAAAAGTGGGTCTTCCCACTTCAAATGATTTAGTTAAGAGAAGTTCCTCACTGATGTACTCGGCTGCTTGGGTTTTAGTTCATTTGGATGTCGTCAAGGTAGCAACCAAGAATATCCATCACGGGCTCTGTAGAGACGAGCATGGTTCACACCCACACCCGTCTCACGTCCTGGTTGAACAACAACAACATCATGCTGTCTCCATGCATTTGCGCTCTCCATAGGCTAAGAATGTTGAAACCCTTCATATTCTGGTGCCTTTTGCTTAATAACCAAGCCTCAAATGCCTTTCTCTGTGCTCACATTTTGCCGCTCAGGTGGTCCTCACTTTGTAAGGGTAACTTCCTGATAGATCATTGTAAGCCAAACAGTACCCTGAGTCAGAAACACATGGAGTACCTTCCCCCTTGGGCGTGGTAGCTTAGGAACACAGCCCACTGGAGCATCAGTCGTCTGCTCTTGTGACTGGTTGGCTAGCTGGCTGCTCACTGCTGCTGCTCAGCATCGACTGTTGCCATTCTAGGGGAAAGGATCGAAATCCAAAGCACAATTTTCACTGAATTCATATTGATTTCACACCATTAGAAAGCAAAAAAGGGCTTGAGTCAAAATATCCTGAGTTGGGAGCTGTATGCGTGGTCGGGAGAAGGCACATTGCTCCTCCAGCACTGTGCCCAGATCCGGCAAAATATTGGATCTCTTCACTTGCAAGTTCTGCTTGCCACCAAAAGCTCCGAGACGGACACACCCCAGTTCTTTACCACTCTGTGCAACGATAACCTATTATTGATCTAAAGACGGTGCATGTATTCAGTGACCCAGCAGCATGACATGATAACCTGATATCATAAAGAGATCTGTGCATGTTAGGTTGTCATGTTAGGCTAGTTGCTGGGTCACAGGTGCTTCTGTGTGCAGTGCTGAGGACTGAACCCAGGGCTAACACATGCCAGCCAAGCAGTTTACCGCCGGGCTACACCCTAACTCCACTTTTGGGTGGAAAGAAAAATGAGTGTTATGACTTTGAGGGAGCCAACAATGCACAAAACCAGAAACAGAAACGATATTACACAGAGGATAGAACAAAAGCGTTAGATGTAGGCAAATGGCACGATCAGTTCTTTAGGAACTGGGATAAAAATGGAATCTCGTGCTAGAGAGAAGCCCATTGCTTTGTGTGCTTTTAAAAAAAACAATAAATAATGAGGCTGGAGAGATGGCTCAGCAGTTAAGAGCACTGGCTGCTCTTGCCAAAGACTCGGGTTAGATTCCCAGCACCCACGTGGCCAGCTGGAAACCATCTGGATTGCAGATGGTTAGACACCCTCTTTTGGCCTCCACGGGCACTGCACGCACATACACACATGCAGGCAAAATACACACAAGCATGAAAAAAATTATTTGAAGAACAAAACAAAGTGAGTGATGACCGTATCTTGAAAACTTAAGATATGAGTATAATTAAGTTTTCAGCAGCACGTTTTTCTACTTCTCAGTTATTCCATAGCCATTAGATACATACAACCCCCAAGACAAATAGGGACGTCATGCAGCTTTAGGAAAAAAGTGGTTGAGGCCCTCATACCGGTTTGCTCACAACCTGTGGGTGGTAGGAGGCGCCCAGCCAGCGGCATGGCCCCGTCTGCCTCCAGGGGGCGCTGCTCTCCCTCGTCTGGCTCCTGTCAAATCCTGGCCCCCTCTGCACCGTCACTTTGAGGAAGTTGTTGTGCGCGCTCGTTGAAAGCACTAAGGATGACAGTTGGAAAACACTGCTGTTTGAGATCAGCCTCTGTGGGGTCAGAATCTCTGTGCTTGAGGGAAGGTAGAAATAGAAAGAGAGCCAAGTTTACAGAACGATTGATAAAAACCTCTGAGCTGTGTGAGTGGACATTTTGAAAAACTTAAAGAAAATAGCAGAAAGCTTCCCTGCGCAGAGGGCAACCTCTGGCAAAGGCTGCCCCCGCCGGCAGGGCTTTGTCGGGGGGTGATGGGGGGGGTGGCACTTGTACCATGTTACCGTGTTCTTGCCTGGCTGGAGCAGCCCTAGAAAGAGCAACCATTCCAAATCTTGCTCTGAATGAGCGGGAATGAATCCCAGCTACCCCAAATCATGCTCTGAAAGGAACAGAGACCAGCTGTGGGCTGAGAGCTGCTGTTCTGTTAGGGAAAGTAGGTCTCCCCCTGCCCTGGGAGAAACAGCTCTCCGGCATGGCGTGGTCAGCCTGTCTCGGCCGAAGGCATCTTCCTAGGGTTTTGGATGAGAATCAGGAAAACCAGTCTCTCTGTACTCATCCTGACTTGCATATTCATCGGTGTCAACAGAAGCCGGCCAATCAAGACTAAGTGACGAGTAAGCATTTCGCATGAGTGAGCAATTTTTCTATTCAAGTTGTGGATTATTCTACAGGGGGAAGAAGTAGTAAACAGAAAAATCCAGAGGCCTTTTAAAAGCTTTGTGTATGTGCCTATGATATCAGTAAGCCAACAGCTTCCATTCCTAGCAAAGAGGAATAAAATCCGTGTACCCTTTGTCTCCATGTAATGCAAAGGTGTTTTCCCGCTTTAAACGAGATGGTTCTCCATAGACAGAGTGTTTCAGCACTTGCCCTATTATTAGACTGACATTCACTAATAACCCTCAACCTGAACAACCGGAGAGTTTTGTCACCTACATAGAGAAGCTACCTGCTTCTGCTTTTGCAATCTTTATTTTATTAAATTTATTCTTTATTTATTACAGTTTATTCACTTTGTATCCCATCTGTAGCCCACTCCCTAATCCCCTCCCAATTCCACCCTTCCTTCCTCTTCTCTTCCTATACCCCTCCCCAAGTCTACTGATAGGGAAGGTCCTCCTAACCTTCCATCTGACCCTAGCCTATCAGGTCTCATCAGGACTGTCTTTCATAGTCTTCTTCCTCTGTGGCCTAGTAAGGTTGTTCCTCCCCCAGGGGAAGGTGATTAGAGAGCCTGCCACTTAGTTCATGTGAGAGACAGCCTCTATTCCCCTTACTAGGGAACCCACTTGAAAACTGAGCTGCCGTAGGCTACATCTGTGCAGGGGTTCTAGGTTATCTCCATTCATGGTCCTTGGTTGGAGTATCAGTCTCAGAAAATGTCGCGACCGGCCTTTGCCGATAAGGACGACGCAACAACCGAGGATTTCTTCAGCGGCAAGTTTATTGTACAGCTCTTTCTTGCAGATGGTGAAGGACCCAAACCCCTGGCAGCGCCCCGTTTAAATAGCCAGCAAGGCGACCTGTCCGTCTGTAATTGGTGCTCTGCTCGAGTCCTCATCAGTATATGGCTGGCAATTGGATTGCAGCCTAAACCCTCATCAACATAAAGCTGCGCATGCATAAATCGCGAAGCAATGCTGACAAGAAGCGCGAAAATGCTGGCAAGAAGAACCAGGAAGCAGGAAGCCGGCGCCATCTTGTAATGGCGGGAGCGGCTCCCGACAAGAAAAGACCCCTGTGCCCAGATATTGGTTCTGTTGCTCTCCTTGGAATGCTCAACATCCTTAGTCATAAGGGAAATGCAAATCAAAATGACCCTGAGATTTCATCTGACACCCATCAGAATGGCCAAGATTAAAAACTCTAGTGACAACACATGCTGGAGAAGATGTGGGGAAAAGGGAACCCTTCTCCACTGCTGGTGGGAATGTGAACTTGTACAACCACTTTGGAAATCAACCTGGCACTTTCTCAGAAAATTAGGAATAGCACTTCCTCAAGATCCAGCTATACCACTCCTAGGCATATATGCCAAATATGCTCAAGTATACAACAAGGACATTTGTTCAACCATATTAATAG